GGGGGGGGGTGTAGTGATATTATGGCGTCCCCTCTGTCCATTGTTACATGTCTGCACTCCAACATAGGCATTCTATTTCCTATTGACAGTTTGAATATAACTTTATTGTTGAGTCAAGCCTAATGAGATCCTTCAATATCTCATTAGGGAAAATATATGGGTCAGCCCTCCCAGATGTCATTAAACTACAAGTCGCAGTATTCTCTGACAGTCACGCACTTCATATTTTCCCAAGAGCTTGAAAGTCAAAGAATTCATGTTAATTGAGATTTCCAGATTTTGTGCTGCACCATCATATGTTCTGAATGTTACTGTTTTATAAGAATATCAAGTCATGTCAATATGTCAATATCATGTCCACAAGAAAAGTGATGCTTGGTTATAAAAAAATGAAAACACATGAGAATGTACAAAGGAGCAATATAGAATGAACATCAAATAATGAGACAGACACTCAAATAAGTTTATTGGGCTAACATAGCTACGATGTATTTTTTAAAGGGGTAACCCAAAATTATAATAAACAATAAATAACCTCACAACATAATAGGTCTATCATGAAAGTGACACTAAACTCCTAGAAATGCTTTCAAGTACCTTAACTATTAACAAACATCAGTGGCGTAACAATAGCCATAGCTAGCCATGCGGCCGCTGTGGGGCCTGGGCACAGGGGGGCCCGTCCAGGACACCCCCCTGATGCTGTGCCGGCTGCCTGGGTCGCTATGGGTTCGAACACGCCGCTGTTCAGATCACCGGGCATGTACGAGTATATATGCTACTTGAACTTCTGGTCAGAGGAATATCTCCCTCTGATTGGCAGTGCAGAGGGAGCATGGAGCTGACTTTCTTTCCTATCAGGAAGCCGGGCGGTGGGATATGACCCGTCTCCCGGTTTCCTGATTGGCTAGGAAGCCGGCTTCACTTGTTGCTAGGCAGCCTTGCTTCCTAACCAATGCTAGGCTGCCTAGGATCAAGTGAAGCCGGCTTCCTAGCCGAGGCGGGTCATGACGTGCTGCCCAGCTTCCTGATTGGCTAGAATACCAGCTTCACTTGTTGGTAGGCAGCCTGGCTTCCTGACCAATCAGGAAGCCAGATGGCACCTCATGACCCCCCGCCTGGCTTCCTGATTGGTCAGGCAGCCTCGGCAAGTGAAGCCGGTGTTCTTTCGATAGAACATCGGATTCCCAGGCAATCAGGAAGCCAGGTGACCGGTCATCAGGAAGCCAGGTGAATCGGGGCACCGGTATTGGTACTCGGTATCGGCGACTACCGAAAATAAAATATTGGTTCTCATACTCGATGCTGAAAAACCGGTGTCGGATCATCCCTAGTTAATAGTTAAGGTGCCTGAATGCATTTTTAAGATTTAACTCCTGAGTTTAGTGTCACTTTAAAGACCAACCATAAACCACTGCAGATACTTATCACATTGCCCTTCCAGAACTAGACTGGATGACTAACCCCCTCTAAAGAAACAACATGAGAAGAAAATAAAACATCATCCAACCAAAATGGCCCAATGAGCGCTCTGCTGCTGGGGAACAGTGCACACTGAAATCTCCAACAGCAACTTGCAAGAAAGGGAGGTGGAACAACAGCAGAGCGTCCTTTGCACTATGCCATGAGGTCCCTGTTGATCACTAGGGTCCCTATCATTCTGTGACACCACCAGACTCTATAACAATCTGAATATTATAATATTTTTCAGCATCAGGTGAGAATGTTATATTGATTCTATATCGTCTATAAACCTATACGTTTCTTGTAGTATCACAGGGAGTATAAACCATTCAAATTAAAAAAAAACAACATACCAAGATTAGAAAAACATTGCTAATTTAATACTATAATGGAATTGCACAAATGGAATTTCATGTTTGACAAGCATACCAAATATAATTTCTTATTCTCCTTTGTTCCCATATTAATCTGAAAATACTGACTGAATGAGCAGATATAATAACAAATAATAGTGTTAACACTTCACATATTCGAAATATTGCGTATTCTTCATAGTATAAAGTGCAGTCATCATTGCTAGTAATTGAAATCTGCTACTTCACAGGTAGTCCTCACACTCTGCTGCAAACACTTTTTGTTCTGGTGCCAAACATGTATTCTAATTATACAGCATAAACCTACAGGGATTTTTTAAATCTTTAGCAACTATTAAAAAGTTCTTAATAAATAACACACACAACAAGGTATACTGTGTTGGCGTCAAGGTGCATTCAACTTCTGTAGGACACACTATAAGTTTATACTTTCCGTGATGTTTTAAGTCTTACACTCTGCTTTGAAAAGTTGAGAGCTTCTTCTTTTGAGTTCTTGACAAATTCAGACACTTTACTGAATCCTTCTGCCAGACCTTGCCCTGAGATGGCACAGCATGGCTGGACATACCAGTCCCGGTCCGAGCAATACTTGTTCATGTTAAATTTCCGTGTGATCTCGTCTGCATTGAGAGCCCCGGGAATATCTTGCTTGTTAGCCAGGACGACAACAGGCACATTCTTTATTAGTTCATTCTGCAGTATACGCTGAAATTCCTTTTTTGACTCATCTAGAGTTTCTTTGTTAGTACTGTCCACCACGTACACCAGTCCATCTGTGTTTTCAAAGTAGTAGCACCAGAGTGATCGCAATTTCTCTTGTCCTCCAACATCCCATATGGTTAATTGCAGGCGCTTCTCTGTCTGAATCATCTCCACGTTGAAGCCGACTGTTGGAATTGTACAAAAAGGCTCTTTGAATTTGAATTTGTACAGCACAGTAGATTTACCAGCTGCATCCAAGCCAAGTAAGAGGATTCTGGCTTGTTTAACCTTGGAATGAACAGAGATGGCGTGCCCCATGTCTTTATGTCTTTGCTTTTTGTTTTTGAACCTCAGAAATAGGTGAGAAGTTTGGCATGGTGACTCGTAGCAGTGGGAGCTGTCTACTTATAGAGAGGCTTATCAGAGAGCAGAAAGGTGTATTGTTTATGAAGGTTTAATGTCCACTGCTTGTCACAAAGGTAGAACTGTCAGAAGCAATAAAGCGTAATCGATAAAGGAAACCAAAGTTCAATGTATGAGAGAATCAGGTGTGAATAAAGTACTTTCTAATACAATAAAACTAGTACAGTTTACTTTAAAATAACTAGGTTATAATCATTCATATTACTAAACTAAAACCTTCTTGCTGTATACTACGGACAGAAAATACACCACTAACTTTTATCAAATGATTCTTGTTTGCAAAAATTCACTATACTGCATATGCATGTAATGAGTGTTACAGGTAAACAATTATCATCAGTGCACCGTTGGCTGCAATCATCAAGCAGGGGATATATATATTGCAGCTACAAGTGTATTTGCTTTAAAGAAGGAAATTGGGATAAGAAACCCCATCGGCAAACCCCGAGACCTAAACTAGATTGGACAGATTTGCAGAGAGTGGCTCTTCACAAGAAACACATAATACACTGTACTATAAATACATCC